AGGCTGAAGCTTTTGTGGATGACCTCCTATAGCTCGACGGCGCTGGCAGATGAGGTCATATCTTGAAGAAGAGGACGGTAGTGAACAGGGGCTTGCGCCTGCACATAGAGGGACGTTTTAGGAATATACTGCCGAGAAACTTCCATCGACCACGGCAACATTATTTAGTTAAAGCTTGCTGAAATATGGCATGAGCAATCTGCCTCTTTTTGGCCACCCTTGTACGTTATAATATTAACATGCTCAGATCTTGAGAGGAAAGATTCACCTTTTGTGGGAAACCGAAGCCCACGATGACAATGCAGCAATCGCGACATTTTCAACGGTGGATTCTTCACGACTCTGAAAACGTCCAAAAAAATGTAAACTGACATGAAAAGTATGCCCTTCAATTATAAAGGACCTCATAGAGATCTCACACAGAAACAACATGCCCAAGATTTAAATCATACCACATACGTAAAAACAACAAGTCCAATAATTTGGGAGTGCACTAGGGACGCAGGTGCATACCCCCTGGAAATGGAAGCCAAGTGGCAGAAAAACCGATGTGTGACGTATTCCCGAGAACCGTTACTAGGCACGCTAGTAGCAAGTCATTAGGCTTCAAACCTAAAATTAGCAAAGCCTTCAAGTGCTTTGTTGACTTTTACGATATTGCTTTCGATGCTGCTCGCTTTTCAAGGCATCTCACCCAAACGGTCGCTATCTTAGCCGTAAACTTGTTTGAACCCAAGGGGCACAATGAGGGACCCATTGTCCGAATTTCTGACAGTCCCTGCTCATTTGTTCTTAACTGCTGCAAGTTGGCACTTCTGCTTTCAAATCTGATCAGCATCAAATATTGTAAGCGCTTCCTCTTATGAATGAACACCACTGTTCTTTGCATGCTTCAATGGGAATAGAAGAAGATTTCGTTTTCAACTGTGAATGACTTGTCGGTAGAAAAAAAACTGACCAACGACAACAATGTAGTCACGTCGCGAATATCTTTCTCGAAATGGAACGCAGGGTCTATCGCTCGTAAGCCAGCCAGATCCACGCTTGTAAATACACTGCTCCGCAAAGTGTCACGAGTTAATTTCTGAAGCATTACAATCAGTAGATTCACCAACTGCCCTCTTCTGCGATCCATCTTCTCTTCTGCCTCTTGAAATGATCGATCGAAATCTCTAAGAAAAAACCACCAAAAATGAGCTCATTTT